TAAGGAGAAATGTTTAGGGTGTAATAGGTTTTTTATAATTTTCGAAAATAAAATCAGATTTAAAAATAATGGCAATTTGGTAAATAGGTGGAAACATGAGGAGAGTTTAGGTTTTTTAAGAGTGAATAGTAATGACAAAAAAAAAAGAGGTTGGTTTTGTGTTTGACTTGAAATTTTGGGTTGGTTTTGCAAAAACCCCGAATTTTAATTCTTATTGAAGTTGATTTTTTTTAATGTTTTCTTTCACTATCCCTCACATTGTAGTGAAATGTTTTATGTTAATAATTTTGGTTTTATTTTTTTCAAATATTATTTAGATTTTCTTTTATTAAACATGTCTTTAGAAATTATAATAGGAAACTATTAGTTCGACATAAAAATGTCTGAAATTTATCTAAAACGAAGCCAAACAAATAACAATAATTTTTGGTTATCATCGAAAAAATCAAAAACATCAAACATTTAAATCAAACAAACCAAAATAAATATAGAATTAGAATGATAGTTATATTTTAAGAGATTAAAAAAACAACGTAAAACTGAACCAATATTCATGCTAAAAAGACATAATATCATTTTATCTTAAAAGTAACAAAGGTAATAATCTCATTCCGTGCAAGGTGCGGATTATTACCTAGTTTACTTGTATTTTGGAGAAAAATTTCCGTAGAATGTTGTAAAAATTAGTATCTTGACCCCCCTATAATATTTTCTTAAACGTGACTTTGACCTCTTAATCTTTTGAGAAAATAGTTTTTTTAGGCCAAATAGGTTTGGACATTGTCCCTTTAGACTAATCTCTAGTACTTTATGTCCCATTAGGCTAAATATTTTCCAAATAGCAATAATGCCCTTAAATTCACTTAAAAATCGTAAACAAATTAAAAATAAAAATCTTCAAATCTGAAAAAAAAAAGACGAAAGAAACTGCTCTATACGACGGGATCGATCGATCCTAGAAAGAGTCGGTCGATCCTAGCGGTCGATCTCGATGATTAAACAAAAACATAAAAAAACACGGAGTAGAAACTGATCGACCTTTTCCAGTTCAGTCGATCTTCACCGATCGATCTATCAAAGATCGATCGATCGGTGATTTAGATCGATCGATCTCGATCCCAGAAAAATTCTATCAAAGATCGATCGATCAGAGATTAGTCTAAAGGGACAATGTCCACACCTATTCTACATGTATTAGAACGTTGTGAGAATGTAGATTCCGATTTCTACTAGTTTTAGATTTAAGTAAAAGTTTAGATTTCAATTTCTACTTTTATTAGATATATATGATAAGTGTGGAATGTGTATTCGAAACTATTTTAGATTCGTATTATATCCGTAGAATACATATTTTGTATTTCGTAGAAATAATGAAAAAAGTGGATTCCGTATTCTAATCCGTAGTATACGGATTTTAATTTCGGTAGAATAATATATGAAATTATTATTTACAAATTTTTAAAACATGAAAAAATCACTATATAGATATAGGGGTTTCATCATTATGTGCTATTTTTTTTAAAAAAAATTGCTTCATAAATCTATTTTTTTAATAATTTCAGAAATAAATAAAGGGCATTAGAGTCAAAATTGATACAAAATATAATTTATACTAAAGAGACAATGTCCAAACCTATTTGGTCTAAAAAACAGTTTCCCCTAATTTTTTTTAAAAAAATTCTGCCGAAGGCCCATATTCAGTAATCATTTTGGTATTTATTTTTTTATACAATTTTAATCTATTCTATTAAAATAGAGTCATTCTTTTTATCTACTGATATAAGTTGTCATTTAAATTTGGACCCTTTCTAGAGTGTTACAAATAATACAAGTTATATAGTTGATTGAACCGCATTACTTAAATTAAACCGGCGGTTATTTATGGAATAGAGTTTTGGGCTTAATTTTGTTTTTATGACATTTAATTGTTTGGTTTTTGGGCTTAGTATTAAAGAAAAACTCCAAAACATTAAATAAACTTTCCACCTTAATGGATCAAAAATCAATTACTATTTTCAGGTCTAAAAATATTTAATATTTTCAACAAAACAAAATTATCTATTATTAATCATTTATTTAAATCATGTACTTTAAAACATGTTAATATTTTTTAGCCCAAAAATATTTAATATTTTCAACAAAACAAAATTATCTATTATTAATCATTTATTTAAATCATAAACTTTAAAACATGTTAATATTTTTTATTTTAAATAACAATCACTCTATCTTGATAAATTTTAATGGTAACTTTTAAATCATTTATTTTTAATTTTTCTTAAATAATTTACAGATTTAAAAAAAATGTAAAGCAAAACCAAAAACCAAATCTAAAAAATAAAATCCAAAACCAAAAGCTGAAAACGTAGGTTATATTTTTTGCTTTTTTATTTACAAAATAAACTATTTCAAAATTTTTAGAAAATTATTTTGTCATCTTTTCAGTTTTAAATTACTTGTTCGATTAATTGAGATTTGTTTGTTGGTAATATCAGTTCAAACTAACTCAGCGGGTCTAAAAATTAAAAACCCAAACCAAAAGCTGAAAATCAAAAATAGAAACTTAAAAACTAAAAACAAAAAACAAAAAACCAAAATTTAAAACAAAATCTAAAAATAAAAACTGAAACTAAAAACTAATGAAAAACAACTGTCACCACAAATTTTGGTAAATTAATTTATACCAAAACATTCTTTAAAAAGACAAAACCCAACTACATAAATTTTTAATCATAAAAAACTTCTGCGCTTTTCAAGTGCGGATCAAAATCTAGTTTGTTATTATTTTACGGCTGTCTAATGCTTATATTTTCAATAAAAATGAAAATAACTAACTAATTTTGACTTAACACGACACTTTTTTATCTTTTAATCTTCGTTGTACTTTTACTTCTTTATAACTATTTTTAGATCACAAGATTTTTAAAATAAAATATTTCAGATTATTACCTAAATTTTAATGGTTAAAATTATTAACTATATTTAAATTAATATTTTCATATATATAAATTATGTTATTTTGAATTAGTTATTTTAATAAAATAATTTTAATATTTAATTAACTTATTATTATAAATTAAATTGACTCCGGTAAATATTTGGCTGGCTCCACCACTGAATATATATAATTTTCTACATCAATTTATATATTATATTTTATAAAAATGAGGTTGTGACATTTGTGCGGAGGAGCACATATAAAAAATGAACCACAGAAGTCCGTAAGAAAATATGTCAGTTAGTACGCATGGAATACTACATGAGGTTCTACATCATGGCGTTGTGAGTAACAAGACAAAGGTTGTAGATCAATGCATCACGATCAAGATCAAGGTCATAAAAGATGCCTTGAAGCATGGTTGTTTATCTTGTACAAGAACGGAAACTGATCAGTGTATCAACAATTGTGTCAGACGGAACAAGAAATATCGTCATATATATTGTTGGTTTTGTAGGAAACAAATATCGTCATATATATTGTTGGTTTTGTAGAAAACAATGTATGCTCGTGAGAAGAATAGAAACATAGCTAAGAAGATGAACAAATTATTCATTAAACCCAAGTGTGGCTAACTTGATGAATCAAGGAATACACACCAAAAGGAGGATGAAACTATGTTAGAATTGATGTAATTGATCTAAATCCCAAACAAAGTATGTTTACGTTGTGACAACCAACTCATTACGATGTTATTGGTAAGAAATAACAATAAACTTTGTTGTCTTTAAAACCATAAGGAATGTCATAACTAACTAGCTCCAACAAACACAGCTATTAGTCGAAAGATATATTTTTAGAAGTTCAACAAATTTAAAGAATATATATATATATATATATATATATATATATATATGCACGCATGTTTTCAAATTTGTAGAAGGCAAACACATCTCGAGCAGAAAAATAAATAATTAAACTAAGGCAATGAAGCTTCATTTTTTATGGCTTGCTTTGGTATTGATTGGCGTCAAAACTAATGCAGCGAAGCAAGGAAAGAATGCAACAATCCCTGCACTAATAGTTTTTGGAGATTCAATTATGGATACTGGTAATAACAATAGACTCCACACTCTTTTGAAGTGCAATTTTCCTCCCTATGGCAAGGACTTTTCTGGCGGCATAGCCACCGGAAGATTTTCTGATGGAAGAGTTCCCTCTGATCTCATTGGTAATAATCCGAAGTTATTTCTTTATATTTGTTTATAGAAAATCTTATAGCTATTTTTAACACATTTTTTTCACCAATATTCTTTCAGCTGAAAAATTGGGACTGGCTAAGTCACTACCAGCATTTATGAACCCGAATTTGAAGCCCCAAGATCTTCTTAAGGGTGTGACATTTGCATCTGGAGGAACTGGTTACGATCCATTAACGGCTAAGATAATGGTATATATTATAGTATATTTTGCCGTTAGCGTTGGTTACATATTATAATGAATTGATACATTTTCTATTATTTTGTTCTTTGAAGTCCGTGATTTCAGTCTGGGATCAACTAACATATTTCAAACAATATATATCAACGATCAAACAACATTTTGGAGAGAAAAAAGCTCAAGATATCTTGGACAATAGTTTTTTTGTTGTGTGTTCTAGTAGCAACGACCTTGCTCACACTTTCATAGCTCAATCTCATAACTATGACCGTACCTCATATCCCAATTTCTTGGCTGACTCAGCAGCCAAATTCGTAAGAGTAAGTATTTTAAACTGATACAGATATATAAAAAATAAAATTATATTATCTAACACTTATTGTATATCCTGTGTATAATACTTAGGAATTACATAAGCTTGGAGCTAAAAAAATCGGAGTCTTCAGCGCAGTACCAGTTGGATGTGTACCACTTCAAAGAACAGTGTTCGGAGGATTGTTTACAAGAGGATGTGTTGAATCTTTAAACAACATGGCTAAACAATTCAACGCAAGGCTTTCACCAGCACTAGAATCTTTAGATAAAGAGTTGGATGGTACTATCTTCTACATTGATGTTTATGATACTCTTTTCGACATGATCCAACATCCTTCAAAATACGGTAAGCTCATCTTATAAATATATTTTTATAAATTTTTCATTTGTATCGTACAACCTGGAACCAAACTACTGAAATAAAAGTGAATTTATCTCATCATGTTTCAGGTTTTGAGGTAGCTGATAGAGGATGTTGCGGTAGGGGCACTCTCGCAATATCCTACCTGTGTAACTCATTGAATCCATTCACATGTTCTAACTCTTCGGCCTATATATTTTGGGATAGCTACCACCCAACTGAGAGAGCTTATCAAGTTATGGTTGACAGCTTGCTTGACAAATATTTAAGCAAACTCTATTGATGTTTAATCATCTAACTAAAACTTATTTATCTCTTGGTGTGATTGTGTTTCACCCATCTCATTCTTGTCTCTCTTTATGTATTCATCTTTCAAATATTCAATGTTTCAAAATTTATGAATGTTATAAAGTGAATACTGGATATCATCGTCTACAAAACCAGTTTATTACATAATATTTTATCTTTTAAAAGTGATTTAAACTAAAGAAATATGGACCAGTTAGTGCTCTGCCAATAACTCACAACCATGAGTAATCGACAGTACACGTGATTCTATAAGTTATCATAGCTGGAAGTATCTGCCCACGTTTCTTTGTCAAAAAAAAAAGAGAAAAAAAAAGTATCTGCCCACGTTTCAAAGCAAAGCCAAGTAGTGTATAAAAAGACCCCATATACCGTCAAGACTCGAGAAAGAAAAATGATAAAGACTTTGATTTGCCTCTCCCTCATTCTCCTCCCTCTCATCTCTGCGGAGGGAGGAATTGTCTCTGTCTGGAAGACGGTCGATGCCTTGGCTCCGGAGATTGAATTAATCGCCAGATTTGCAGTTGATGAGCATAACAAGCAGTCGAAGGAGGTTCTTGAGTTCGTGAAGGTCGTCCAAGCAAAGGTGCAAACAGTCGTCGATACAATATACAATCTGATCATCGAGGCGAAGAATGGCGCCGATGGTCCGGACGAGAACTTCGAGGCCGTTGTGATTATACATGAAAACAATAAGGCCCTTATTTCATTCGAGGTGGCGGCATAGATCGAAATTTTGATTTTTATTAAAACTTCGTTCTTTGTCTGATATCATGATTTGAAGCTTTGACATTATATGTTGTTTTCGGATAAAAATAAATGGGAGATGTGTTCTTTTTTCTGAGTTTCAACAAAAGACTCTTGTGTTGTTGACATTTATATGTTTGTTGTTGTTCTTGTATTTGAATAAAAATTAAATGGGAGATATGCCTTTTAAAAAGATTTAATGAAATATCTGTAAAAATTATTAGAGCATCTCCATAAACCCCTCTTGGGGTTCATATTTTTATTTTTTTTATTATTTTTTTTGTTACTCTTTGATTTTTTTTTGAGTTTATTACAGTGAGAGACACTTTCGTCTTTTTTATTACATGATAAGGCAGTTTGTGCTCCATGGACACTTTTTGTCGGTGGAAGCCAAAGAGAAGTGTTTGATTGGACGGGGAAGTTAACTAGTTGGACTTCTAGTTACAATTTGTTTTAAGTACAATTTGAATATCAAATTTTTTTAGTTATTTTAAAATAAATAGAAAATTATTTATTTTATTGTTTACCCATTGATGGATTTGAGGTGGAGATTGAATTCAATTGATAATCAGTACCCTAAACTCTCTTTCGCTTAATTGGTAGCGAATACAATTTCGCTTAACTCCCGAACCACTAAAGCGACAAGAAATTGTGTCTGTGTGATTTATTAGTTGTGTGAGATACGAAAGCGACAAAGAGGATGACACCACGCCGGAGCCGCCGTGGAAAAGAGATCGCAAACGGTGAGTTTTATTTGTTGTTCTTGGAAACCTCTTAAAACAACACATAAGAAGACTTTTGATGGGAAGAGTTGTACATACCATGATGATGAGACAAGTGGAGTTTGGAGAATGAATATTGCATGATAAAAATTAATGGTGGCTACGGATTATATTTGCAGAAAACGTTGAAAACCCTAATAAGAAGAAGATGCAGTTATTACAAAATTGTCATTCAATAAAAAAAATTAATGGGACGACCACGTGGACGTGTACATAATGTTAGTGTACACATGTACGTGTACACATGTACTTTGGATGACCACGTGAATGTGTACATAATGTTAATGTACACATGTACATGTTAAGAGATAAATTTGTCTTTATAAGTTTAACGAAAAATGTGATTTACGTGAATTAAATAACATGATTATATATGTACATGTGTACATGATTACATGGTGGACCTAAGGTTTTAGCAAACGTATACATCATTAACTTTCTATAAAGCACACGCTACCGCAATACTTCATGTACATTATACAAACAAAATGTAACTACCATGTACATATACCATGTCCACCAACTGTACTTTTAATGTACTTTACTCAACCATTTACACTCACATTGTACCCATATGTTTCAAAGACAACTACCATCTACATAGCATCTGGTACACGGAATTGCATATACACTCACTGCATATATATGTACTCGTACTTATTTTAGTTTTAACAATGTCCACGCTCTATCCTTTGATCATGTACATNTTCAAAGACAACTACCATCTACATAGCATCTGGTACACGGAATTGCATATACACTCACTGCATATATATGTACTCGTACTTATTTTAGTTTTAACAATGTCCACGCTCTATCCTTTGATCATGTACATTATCAACCAAGTACGAGTTAAGTTGTACACTTTTGTTTCCCAACCTAGACGTCCACACCATGTACATGGTATAACATCTACATGTATTTGTACACGAACTTATATGTACATTCACTACATACGAAATTTCATGTTGGGTTTGTACACATGTACTTATATATTCATGTTGTTTAGTTCACGCAAACCCAACATGGGATTTCGTTTATGTACACATGAGTATTTTTGTATGTACACAACGATTTACATGTATATTTTGATATCTAATGTCTATGACATATGAGTAGTTTTGATATCTAATGTCTATGACATATATTTTGATATCTAATGTCGATTTACATGTACACCGGTGTACATGTGAGTGGTTGTACAAGTGGATAATGATATGTCTGTGTAAATTTGAATCGTTGTACATAGTGTAATTGTATGTACAACATGTTATGTACATATGACTTATATTTTTTAATGAAGGGTATTTTTGTAATTTTAACTTCATCTTCCCCAAAATCAATTAGGGTTTTCTGCAATTTTCACCTTAACCATCATTTTCTTTTCATTTTTCTTGCTTATTATACATTTAAATCTATAGAAATATCGTTTAAGATCCGATTTCATGCTCTAAATGACCTTGTTTTACAACAAAAACGTCTATGTCTCCGTCATCACTACGTCAAAGTTGATCACGTTGTTACACCATTATCAGATATGTATCTTGACTTATCATAAAAGATAAATTGAATAACAAAGATAATAATTTTATATAAATTCTTTTGAGAAAAACAAACTGAAAAAAAACAGATTCTAATTTAGAAAAAGAAAACAGAAAGTTTGGAAGGAAGAATACGAAGGAGAGAGAAGAACAATCATCAATCCGTTTTTTTTCGATGACGCCATAGCTTCCCAAATTTTGAGTCCACCCATGAACATTCGTAGTCAACGGAGACGACGCCATAGTTTCCCGGATTTAGAGATTTCACCGCAGGTGAATCTGGAGATGAAAATGAACTTTACAATTCTTCTCTTCGTCAGTTTCTAGAGATTCCAGAAATAAAAGGTAATTTCACCGAAGTATAAAGTAAATTCTGAAAAGGTTTTGTTTAGCTGGAGAAAGAAGGAAAGAGCAAATGAAGAAAACAGAGGAGAGAAAACAAAAAGATTCGTAGAAGAAAGAAGAAGAAGAGTTGAGATGTGTAAAAAAAGTGGGACCCATTAGTTATAATTTATTTTGGTTTCAACCACTAAATGTAACTAAAAGGAAGAAAGTTAGAAAAAAGTGCTCTAGGAGTGGAAACTGCCTTATTATGTTATAAAAAACTTAAATCTGTCTCTCGATGTAATATTTTCTTTTTATTAAAAAAAATTGAACTAATGGATGGCCGACACGTGTCTGCAAATCTATGTGAATTCCATGGGGGTTCACTGATGCAGATGCTCTTAGTATTATGACACGGAGTAGTCTCGCTCCCAATCTCACTTGTCATCACCATTCTCGGTTGGTCAATCTTTGTTCTATGGTTTGACGAGAGCACTTGAGCAGTATAGAAAATCAGTGCGTATGAGAGGCTTTGCATCAAAAGTTTAAGGTCTTAAGACCTCAAAACTTATTTGTGAAAGTAAAATTCCATCAAGAGAACCACATCAAATCCATCGTTGGTGCAACCTTATAGCATATCTAAAATTTCTCTATCAACCTATACATATCAATAATAGGTTCTGAACCAAGAAAAAAAATACTCATGGTGATATTATTTTACTATCGGTTTGAACCTGGTTTTACGTTTGGTTAACCTTTACGACCTATTGACATAGTATCTTTTACGCAAACTGTTTAATTAATCAAACTAGGATAGACGAACCATTGGAAAGTAGGTGTGGCGTATAGATGAAAAAGTTCAATTTTGGTGTAGTTATGGATTCTATATAGTCGGTATCGATATATACATGTTGTTATCCCTATTTTATTATACATATTTGGAGGTGTATAATAAAGCTGGATATGTTTAATCCAAACCTGACATATAAAATAATTATGCTGCACCAAGTTTGGCTTAACTTTATATGCCTTGCGATTACATTAATCGAATTGGTCAAAATCCCAAACGTAGTATATTTAAGTAGTGACAACTAACTCATTGCGATGTTTCTGGGACGATATAACGATAATCTTTGTTGTCTTTAAAACCATAAGGAATGTCAACTAACTAGAGCCAACACTACAAGAAAACAAAGCATTTACAAGGAAATTTTACTAGGAAAATTCTTCCTCGTAAATTTACTAAGCCTTTACTACGATCTTACGAGGAAAGCAAATTTCCTCGTAAGCTCCTCGAAAACTTACGAGGAAATACTTTCCTCGTAAGACCTTAGTAAATTTACGAGGAGCTTACGAGGAAAAAGTACTTTTCCTCGTAATGCCGTAGTAAACACTTTCCTCGTAAAGGCGTAGTAAAATATTACTACGAAATTAGGAGGAAATAGTTGCTTACTAC